ACTACACCTCTTTATTTTGTATGTAATTTTTTTCTATAGGATAGGGTGACAAACGAGCACACAGTCCACCTGTGGTGGTTGCTGCGGCCCATAGATATCTACATCTATCCTCGATTACAAATCAAAATGCAGATGCGTGTCACCCGTGAGGACTAAGATGGAACGCCTCGTTTCCAGTAAAAAGAGAAGAGAAGCTCTCCGGTTCTCTACACTCACCATACGAAACACAGAAGGATTAAGCTATTATTTTACGCTGGTATTCGGTGAGATCGTGGTCCTTCCCCGGTCGAGCCGGCCTATTCGTGCTACAACTATACTACTAATATAACTGCAGCATGGCTCTACCACGTATAAAAAATGCTTTAATGAACTAGTATATGATACACAAAAAAGTGCACAATCAGACTTTAATTGTGGCATATTTTTGTATAATGCATAAGTAATGGGTTCTTTAAAAATATACATAAATAATTTTTTTATTTCAGGAAGAGATATATTTATTTTAAATTTCATTATTTCGTAGCTATTATTTGTGTTAAAGGAAATATGTTACCTTTTGGAGAAATAATGTTGTTGGTTATTGGAAATGTAACATAACCGCTGCGCACCTCGCGGCGCCTCTGTCACTCGACACATACCTATTATGGTGCATTGGGTATTGTTTACAAAAAACGTTATTTATAACTCTACATCAGCGGGAGTGACCCTTGAGTGGTTTTATGGTTTTTAAAGGAATGAATGAATCTTTATTTCTGTACAAGTGCTGTTAAAGTTTGTTTGCTCAAATAAAGTAATATTAATTTTTCAATAAATATGGCACTTACGACTAAAATTTTAATATCGGCATTAAGAGTACTTATAAAATACTTTATGAGATTTCTAAAACCTACTGAAAGACTATTGCAAGATGACTGAATCATGTAAAGAAAAAAAGAGGTTCAAGACTGAATCATTATAACTAAATAAAAAAACTATTTTTATTGACTAAAGCGTTACGCCGCATTATGCCGTATCTGGTCCGAACTACATTCTACATCGGTGTAAGTTGATTGTGGGTTCTTGTAAGCTTATTATTAATGCGTTTTATGATAAAAAATTGTATAGCCTATGATTTTGCTCATAAAATATTGTAGACATTAGATCTAAGATTAAAATAAAATAAAAATGAACTAATAAAAAACTTTATGTCATTGAGAAATATGATAGTTTTGACTTTATTCAATATTTAGTTATACTAATTACTTTAAAACTTTATTAAATATATGTACTCGTTTATAGGAAATTTCATAGAGAATTCAGAAATGTATACATATCATAGTATTTGATATACCAAAATCAAGAAATTTGCGTTTAAACGGATTGCACCCAATGCGCCGTCAATTTTATTAAACAGCTCCACAGTCAACGGAGTATTACGGTTAGAGTCGCAGCTGAAAGGTTAGGAACGAAATTTGATAGATTAATCCTTTTGTAAACTTAATAAAATATTTTAAAGAAAAACAATATTGGGGTCACAAAGGTAATAATACAAATATATAATTTAAATCTAATTACAGCCAAACATTACCTCACACAAGTCCATGGTTGGTACTGCAGTGTCAGCTAAGCTTTTTTTATTGTAAGCTTGGGGTATGAAATATGATTTTTCAAAATGTTCGGAGCAAATGGTGCTAGTCCGTTTGGGTATCCAAGATTCATCGTTTCTACAAGCTACAATCCAAGTTTGTTGCCTAAAAGGATCCTTTAGAAATCTATCAAACAAACCAATAATAGAAAAATTTACTATTTTTTGTAATACTTTACTGTAAAAGCTAAATGATTGTAGTTTACAAACCGATTCGGCAGACAAACCCGCACGGTTAACTAACTTATCGATAGCTAAAGTTGTGGCGTCCATCACTATAGTTCAATACTTTCGGTTGCAGTGATACCAGTTTATTTTTATAAAAATTGCACACTTTTGCTGCGAAGTAGCAAGTTTCGATTTGACTTATTTGGCCTTTATTTTGTATAATATTTTGATAAATACTAGTTATCGATTATATTAAATTATATAATATTCAGTATCTTGTTGAAATTGTGCTGAATATATAAATGTTTTCACAAAATCCACTACACATCTAAATGTAGTGATTATTATTCATCACAAACTGATTTAGTTATTAGGAAATATATTTTCGTTAATATATTTAACTTATGTAGTAAATTATATTAATTTAAAAATAGATTATTTTTCACTTTATGAACTATGATGGCCACACTTGGTATTGGACGAAAATATTCACAAAGTACGAGTTTTAATGATAAAATTACTTTAGTATTATGTTAAAAATACTCACAGATGAAAAGTCACATTGTCCTTTTGTTTACTTGACGTTTTTGATTTTTTTTTTCATGTAACTACACTGCAATTCGGCATTTTGTCGGAGCTCGATTTACTGGCACGATCATTTCGGAATAACGCATGACGCGGAGCAACTAGTTTTATATAACGAGTATGAGTCGGACTTTCGTACCTTTTACAGAGGGGTATGCCTTCCGATGCCATCCCCTTTGGTTTAATACTCAAAGGCTTGCGAGCGCGATTTATCTAATTAATAATTACTATGTAAGCTATTCAACGTTGGCAAGTAGTCAGCGTCAAAGGACTGCAACTTCTGTAGAAAATGTTTACTGTCTCCATGACAGTTTGTCCTGAGAATTACTTGTTTAACATATTTTTAATAAAATATAAATAGGTAGCTTCTTATATGAAAAACAAAACAGTCATTATGAGAAGAAATATTTGCTTATGTCCATTATACAATATTTAAGGTATATTACTGTGGGGATTTAATATAATATTGTAGTATATAAGTATTTGTCCGGGTAATTGTCCGGGATATTTCCGATGATATCCCGGACGTCAGTCTGAGCGAGATTAGAATGGCTCTCCAGCACCTTAAAAACGGCAGGGCCCCAGGCGAGGATGGAATTACAGCGGAGCTTCTGAAAGCGGGTGGAACACCGGTACTTGAAGTCCTTCAGAAGCTCTTCAATTCCGTCCTCCATGGTGGCACTACTCCAGAGGCGTGGAGCAGAAGTGCGGTGGTCTTGTTCTTTAAGAAAGGCGACAACGCTCTCTTGAAGAACTACAGACCGATTTCCCTTTTGAGCCGCGTCTACGTGCTGTTTTCGAGAGTCATTACGAATCGTCTCGCACGCAGACTCGACGACTTCCAGCCTCCCGAACAAGCCGGTTTCCGAAAAGGCTTCAGTACCATAAACCACATACATACCCTTCGGCAAATTGTACAGAAGTCTGAAGAGTACAATCTGCCACTTTGCCTGGCCTTTGATTCCGTCGAAATTTGGGCGGTGCTACAGTCTCTTCAGCGATGTCAAGTTGACTGTCGGTATATCAAAGTAGTGAAATGTTTGTACAGTAGGAGTACGATGGCTATCCGAATACGAAACCTATCCAACTGCAGAGAGGTGTAAGACAGGGTGACGTTATTTCCCCCGAAACTCTTCACCGCTACATTGGAAGACGTTTTCAAGCTACTGGACTGGAAAGGATACGGTATTAACATCAATGGTGAGTACATCACTCACCTTCGATTTGCCGACGATATAGACCTTATGGCAGAATCGCTGGAGGACTTAAGCACTATGCTCAATGACCTCAATAGTGCCTTCCAACGGATAGGTCTTAAGATGAACATGGACAAAACAAAGATCATGTTTAATGTCCATGTCACACCTATGCCGGTAGTTGTTGGGAGCACTAAGCTCGAAGTTGTTGACGAGTACGGTTTACCTGGGACAAATAGTCCGACTAGGTAAGTTCAACTTCGACCGAGAGGTCAATCGACGGATTCAACTCGGCTGGGCAGCGTTCGGGAAATTACGACACATCTTCTCGTCAGGTATACCTCAAAATCTGAAAACTAAGTTGTACAACCAGTGCGTATTGTCAGTGATGACATATGGAACTGAGACGTGGTCCTTCACTGCTGGCTGTATGAGGATGCTCAAAGTTACTCAGCGAACTATGGAGAGGGCTATGTTCGGAGTTTCTCTGCGTGATAAACTTAGAAATGAGGATATCCGCAGTAGAACCAGTGTGACCGACATAGCCCAACGAATTAGTAAGCTGAAGTAGCAATGGTCCGGCCATATAGCTCGAAGAACCGACAACCGTTGGGGAAAAAAGGTTCTCGAGTGGCAGCCTCGTACCGGTAGACGAAGTGTAGGGCGATCCCCCACTAGATGGAGTGACGACCTGGTAAGACATGCAGGAAGTCAATGGATGCAGGTGGCTCAGGACCGTGCTTTGTGGCATACTTTGGGGGAGGCCTATGTTCAGCAGTGGACTTGTGAAGAGCTATAATGATGATGATGATGATGATGATGAAGTATCTGTCATTATTAGAAGTAGAACTATTATATGCTATCCCAGAATATTATTATTGTTTATAATATAAAGAAGACTTGGCTTTAGCGTTTGTGGTTTTTGAAAATATGAAGAATTAAAGAAAATAAGACTTGGATACGGCCTTTATGGATTTTGAAGAGATGGAAAGAAGAAAAATAAGACTTGGTTCCGGCCTTTACACTTCAAAATTCTATATATTCAAATTAAAAAAAGAGACAGCGCTGTATGGTTTAGTTCCTTTGCCTGCTCTCTCGAGCGAATAATAAAAACAACAAAATTAACCGGCGTCTCGTTGTTGTTTACTTCTTGTTTATAAAATCCTCGTGTTTGGGTGTAATAATAAATTTATATTTTTACTTTGAGAAATAATGTTATAATAATGTCAAGCATAACAGAATATAAACTCTTTTTTCCAATTGACAGTATTCAAAAAGTATGTAATTTATTTGAAGAACAACTACGCAGTGAAAAAGAACCCGACTTAGCTCTGTTTTCCATAATAGTTGGAGCAGTTGAAAATAATTTGACCAACATAAAAAATAGCGATAAGGATGTAAATTTGGCAACAAATAAGTTTGTTAAAATGAAATTTCCTTCTATAGAATGGGATGAAGTTAAATCTCTTTATGAGCGCTTTGTATCGATGATGCGCGCCGGCGTTGATTCTAAGTTACTAACTGGTGAATTTGCAAGTCGTGACTTAGTAAAACGAGTGGCAGATGTTGTATGGAATTCTTTAACTCGAAGTTATTATAAAGATCGGGCTCATCTTCAATCTGTTTACAGTTTTTTGACAGGAAATAAACTTGATTGTTTTGGTGTTGCTTTTGCTGTAACGGCGGGATGTCAAGTTTTGGGCAAAAGAGATGTGCATCTGGCATTATCTGAAGATCATGCTTGGGTTGTATTTGGGAAGGATAGAACAGATACTGCTGAGGTAAACAAATTATCACAATTTGCATCATAACTAATAACCATGAAGTAGAGTTAGATTATATATATAAATATATATATATATATATTATATATATCTATATATATATATATATATATATATATATATATATAATATGGCCAATTTTGCATATAGTGTGGCGTCAACCCGCTTACGACGTACAATATACGGACGTCAAATAGGAGACTTAGCGCAATGTTTCGAAATTGTCATGCTGATCACAGATATGTCAAAATCTAAAAAAAAAAAATTGGACGTCATTTTTCTTCCAATCTTGCTGTACTGAATATTTACGTAGTTCCACTAATTTTCGTTGCAAAAATAATAGCACTGCAGTCGATTTGTGAATACTTTCATTTGTGGCCATATTAGACTTCTGCACAAAATTAGAAGATGCGACGTTGCCGTTCTGTCACCATTGCCAATGTGTTACTTGTATTTGGTGATATATGGTAATGACTGCCTCGTTGGTCTAGTGGTTGTAGTAGTGCGACTGCTGATTGTGAGGTCCTGGGTTCGACTCCCGGGTCGGGCCAAAAAATCAATTATTGAGTTTTTCTGTCAAGAAATTCTCAATATCTGCCCGGAGTCAGGAAGTTGGCGGTGTATCGCCCCCCCGCCTCGTAAGCACGTAAAGCCGTTGGTCCTGCGCCTGATCTCTCCGGTCGTGTCGGTTTACAGTGTCATCGGATTATGAGAATGAGGGAATAGAGAGTGCACCTGTGGCTGCGCCTACACTTGGGCACTATAATCCTGTCCTGCGCCGATGGCTAGTCTTCGTTGAGGCAGGCCGCCGTAACCGTAATTCGGTCTGTAGGGCATTATTATGTGGTTTATACTGCGCTTGGTACTAGTAATTTTACTTTTAAACTTGTTTTCTTAACTTTACATTTATCTACACATAATATAGACGTCCGAATATCCTAAAACTTTCATACTGAATGATATTTGACACCCGTATTTTTGAATTTAGTTATATTTTTATAAATGTCTGAGATGCAGAATGTTTAAGATGCGGACGTCGGCTTATCGGTTTATTTCATGCTGCACTATATTTTAACATTTTACATTTGGTACTAATCTGCCTGAAAGAACTCTTGTTAGGTATTTCGTAAGCAACCCATAATTCTGTTTTAGTACAGGAAGATGTACTCAATTTTAGATATTGACAGGTTTCATAGAAGTTTGTTTTATTATATTGTGACTAATAACCTCTGACTAATAACGGTCTGGTGAAGAAACTCATTTTAATATAAGGTTTTACTGCAATAAGTTTTGCTGCCAATAGGTTGTTAATTTCTACAATAGACCGTGGCATATTGTTGCTGACATAACTCCGAAAATATAATTTATTTACTTGATCGTGTTGAGTTTTGGTGCTCTCACTGCATCTTAAGGATGAGTGCGACTATTGTACCTAATCTGTACGAAATTACTCTCTACTTAACTAGATTCAATTTTTTGAAAGGCTATTTTTGTTAAATTATGATATTATGTTTGGTTTTGCAGTTAATTTAAATAAAATTTAATTTTTCACATATCTTTTCTAAGCTTCTAAGCGTTTTATCATTTCTAGAACGAAAAATTTTATAAAACACCAAAGTGAGTATTTTACACCGCATCCCTACACTAAAATACGAATAAAACAATAGCGAAAAATGTCATTAAAGCAATGATCATTAATGTGTGTCTTATACACAAGGAATATAAATGTATTCATGGTCATTTGGACGTCAAATATTGTGTGGTATTAAACTTTACCGATAATATGACGTCCAGATATAGAAATATAACAAAATTCAAAATATGGACGTCAAATATCATTCAGTATGAATGTTTTAGGATATTCAGACGTCCATATAATTATGTGTACACAGGTAGTAATTTAAAGTTAAAATTTTGGCGCACACAGTGCCCCAAAACATTTATCAAAAAAGAAATAAGAAAGGTTTTCTAAGCTTTTTGTCGTTTCTAGAATGGAGCATTTTATGTAACACCAAAGTGACTTTATTATTTATTTCATACCGCATGGGCTACACTAAAAATAAAAATGAAACAATAGCGAAAAATTTCATTAAAGTAATGATCATTAATGTGTGTCGTCTTATACACAAGAAATTAAAATATAAATATATTCATGGTTATATGGACGTCAAATATCGTGCGGTATGAAACTTTACCGATAATCTGGTGTCCACATATAGAAATATAACAAAATTCAAAATATGGACGTCAAACATCATTCAGTATGAATGTTTTAGGATATTCGGACGTCCACATTATATGTAGCTAAATCTAAGGACATGAAAACAAATTGGAAAGTAAAATTATCTACTGGCACCGAGTACAGTATAAACCGACAAAAAATACCAAAATATGCCTTGAGCATTAAATAAATAATCAACATAAATAAATAGTAAAATGCAATAATCAACAACAACTTTGGACATCGGATATCGAAGAAGTGGATGTCAAATAAAACTTAGTGTGAATATTTTAGGATATTTTTACGTCCGTATATGGGTAAATACTCCGTTCAATGTCCATGTCAAGTACATTAATCAACTTACACAAGTTTATTTACCTAAGTTACTAAATATAACCAAAGAAACTTAAATGCAAGCAAGCATAAGCGTGAAAAGTTCTCAATGTGCGTAGGTCACAATACGGACGCCAATTAGAGCATGATATGCATGTTTTTAGTAATATAGCGTCCAATATTTATAACAACAACACAAACAAATTGTATTTCAACTAACTGCAAAACCAAACATAATATCATAATTTAACAAAAATAGCCTTTCACAAAAATGAATCTAGTTAAGTAGAGAGTAATTTTGTACAGATTAGGTAAATAGTTCGCACTCATCCTTAAGATAGTGATCATAAAAAGTAAACTCGCAGTGGGAGCACCAAAACTCAATACGATCAAGTAAATAAATTATATTTTCGGAATTATTCATGTCAGCTACAATACGCCATGGTCTATTGTAGAAATTAACAACCCATTGGCTATTAATGCAGTAAAACCTTATATTAAAATGAGTTTATTGCCAAGGTCATATTAGGTTATTAGTCACAATATAAGAAAATGAACTTCTGTTAAACCTGTCAATATTTACAATTAGTACTTATTTACAATAGTAAAATAAATAATAATATAGTCAATCTATAATGTATCATCTATGTGTATAGCCTACATCATATCATGTAGGCTGGGCAATCCTAGATATTTTTTCGTATTTAGTAAACGAATATCTAGTTGGTAAATTAATCATGATATCTATGTTTTTTTTTTCGTCGGAGACAAAAAAGATATTGCGTAATTTTCGTAACTGCACATTCTATGGATTTATTTCATTATTTTGAACAATATACGAAATTTAAGTGACTAAAATTAAATCTAATCTGAACCAGAATCTTAAAAACTGTATTATTCGTGCTAAACGAATCTAATAAAGACCTGTTATTTTTGTGTCCTGTGAAAAAAAAAACTATAGGAATCTATGGAATACCTACATAAACAAAATATCACTTACTATAAATAAAATATTACAAAGCGGCAACGTCGAAAGAGTGGCAACGTCGCATCATACAAAGGAATTGCGTTAAGCAGGAGAATTAATTAAAAACTATGTATATTACGGGGATTCTGGATAATTTGTAATATGGAAGGGAGTCCTGATTGGTTTCCCTTCGTCTGGCAATATACGAATATTTATATATCGACATATGGTAAATTTTCGAAGAAATGAGTTAAACACTATCTTTGAAATTGTTTAATGGACCGATATTCGCTGTCATAATGTATCAAAATTGCCTACAAGTGGTGGACGCTACAATAATGCGAAATGAAAGGATGTAGAATCAATATTGTGATGTGTATATATATATATATATATATATATATATATATATTCATATATGAATCACAGCAATAGTCAAAATTGCTATCTTAACAGTTATTGGCATTTGAAACAATTTTTTTCTGACATCATTATCCAATTAGAGAGTAGATGTTATTTTAGTAAGTAGATGTTGTGCTTATTTTTTATACAATAAGGGCGATAATCAAGCACACTTTCTAACGGATGGTAAGTAGATGCTGTGACCTACACTTGCTGTCCATTTGCTAAAAGGCACTTTGCTGTTCTCCCAAGGACAAAAAAAACATTTTCAGTATACGTAGCTGAGTTAACAAAAACAACTTTCGTTTTACGTTTACATTTTAAAATGCCAAATTATCATGTTGCGGCTCGCCATTGACAAGATGGGGCACATGCGTAGCTGTGCAACATAAACACAACTGTATCTAAACAAACAGATTATATGTTTATTCTTGATAAGAATCAAAAGATAGATGTGTTGTCACTTCTGAATGTCAATATAAAATATCTTGTTACCATTAAAAAAAGTTTCTGGCTTACTTCACTTACCATACAAAACATCGGCATTAAGTCATTATATTATGTTGATACCCTGTGAGAGTATGATCCTTTCATGGTAGGTGATGAGCGATGAAGTATCAGAAGAATGCATTAATTTCTAACTCATTAGTAAAATATATTTAATGCTCCCTTAAAATATGACCAGCACATCAGAATGTCTAGTGAATTATCATAATAATCTTAATATGTATAAATTACATGTCACATTATTTGTCTGTGATGGACTCCTAAACTACTTAACTGATTTTAATCAAATTTGCACACCATATGCAGTTTGGTCCAACTTGAGAGATAGAATAGTTTTTTGCCCATGAGTGACCCATTTTTTTTTTGCGAATTTAAGGATTTTTAATAGGACAAAGGGTCGTCGAACAGGACAGGACAAAGTCTGCCTGGCAAGCTAGTCTTTTATCATCATCATTCATCATTACAGCCCTTCACAAGTCCACTGCTGAACATAGGCCTCCCCCAAGTAATGCCACAAAGCACGGTCCTGAGCTACCTGCATCCATCGACTTCCTGCATGTCTTACCAGGTCGTCACTCCATCTAGTGGGGGGTCACCCTACACTACGCCTACCGGTACGAGGCCCCTTCGAGAACCTTTCTTCCCCATCGGTTATCGGTTGTTCGAGCTATATGGCCGGCCCATTGCCACTTCAGCTTACTAATCCGTTGGGCTATGTCGGTCACTCTGGTTTTACTGCGGATATCCTCATTTCTGAGTCTATCACGCAGTGAAACTCCGAGCACAGCCCTCTCCATAGCTCGTTGATCGACCTTGAGCGTCCTCATACGGCCAGCGGTGAAGGACCACATCTCAGATCCGTAAGTCATCACTGGCAACACGCACTGGTTATACACTTTAGTTTTCAGAGATTGAGGTATACCTGACGAGAAGATGTGTCGTAATTTCCCGAATGCTGCCCAGCCGAGTTGAATCCGTCGATTGACCTCTCAGTCGAAGTTGGACTTACCTAGTCGGACCATTTGTCCCAGGTAAACATACTCGTCAACAACTTCGAGCATAGTGCTCCCAACAACTACCGGCATAGGTGTGACATGGACATTAAACATGATCTTTGTTTTGTCCATGTTCATCTTAAGACCTATCCATTGGGAGACACCATTGAGGTCATTGAGCATAGTGCTAAGGTCCTCCAGCGATTCTGCCATAAGGACTATATCGTCGTCTTTTATAATTATTGTTAAATTGATTGTGGAGCATACCATGGGTTATTTATATTTAGGTCATTAAATTTCAATCTAATGTTTATGATATCATTTTTGTTATATTAGAATAAAAGTTTATCAAGCAGTTGTATTTACTTTATATATTTACATAATTTTGTAAAAGTAAAAAGTACTTTATACCTTATATTAGAATAAAAGTTTATCAAGCAGTTGTATTTATTTTATATATTTACATAATTTTGTAATTTGAACATATATCACTACTTCATATGCTCTCAAAATATTTGTGATTTTGATTTATCATGTGATAAATAAGCACTTAAAATTGTGATTATGAATTTCAGTGGCGCCATTAGATATCAAATTTGGGCTCCTCACATACTTTGATATATAAGAACACCCATAGCTACAAATACTTAACAACTCTGCAGCTCTTTTTACTCGGATCAATTAGTATATAGTGAAAGTTGTGGCTTATGAGGTTATTGCATGCCTTGAGCGCAAAGCGCATAGGTATGTTCTACTGGCGCCTAAAAATCAAGAACTCAACATTTTGTCACATGAAATTGTATCTAAAATCTTGATATAAAAAGCACAATGTTAGAAAGATAAATGATTGTTGAACTTATAAGATTTTTTTTATTGCTATTTTTACATTAAAAAGGTGGTTTTAGTGGCTTATGGTGTTGAATTATCGAGTCCACATGACATGCTAAACATGATAACTTTTGAAAATATCAACTGTTCAACTCAATCTATTTTTTAATCTCTTCATCTATCATGTTGGAAGCCATGGAATGTAAACGGCTGTTTAATTTTGTTTTGTTTAGTTATGATTAATTATTTTCGACTGAGAAATTCCAAATTTTGGGTGTTCCAGCGGTCTTGTATAGAAAATATTTTATTAGATATAGATCCATTTCGACTCACTGCGGGCTCGGCCGTCATCGAGAGTGGGTTATTGTATAGTTTGTTTACAGCGTGATGAAAAATATTGATCACTGTAGAAATACAAAATATTTCAAAAACCTAATTTGATACATACTTGACCTAGGTAAGATATTACTATTACATATTTTTATAATCACAGATTTTTATTACAATATATTGTTTCACTAAAAGTATGTAGGATTTATATATAAATATATTTATACATTTTGGACTTTATGGAGTGACCTGAGTGAATCCTAAATTAAAATACTGGTTAGATATGACCAGACGAAAAACTTTTTGAAAACGAGATAAAGTTGATTAGAAAAAGGTATTATTAACGATTCAGGTAAAAAAGACTAGTTTTTACGATAACGCCTTCTTATTTTATAAAGAACGTTACCTCAACATAAGGTCGAACCTGCGACTCTCAGTGCTATAATTCATTGCAAAGCTACTGCGCCACGAAGCCGTCAATGCTGTCATACCTGAGTACCTAAAAATTAAGTAGTAATAAAGATAACAATATTAAAAAAAACTTTTTAATCTCAATCATAATAACATAGTAAAATTAATAAAATATTTTCCATTGTTGATTGATATTTTTTTTATACATTTTTTTACAATCATATGAGTCATGCACTTCTAGATTTTTCAACCTTTTTCTTTTTCTTTTCCAAAAAGAATAAAATAATCTTTGATATACTGCAAGTTAGCATGGACTTCAGAAGCAATTATGTGGAAATTATTAATTTTTTTTAACTAAAATCCTATGTTTTTAGTTTTTTTAAAAATTCTATAAAGTTGCACATAATCCATATTATTTATTACAATATATGATACTATATACAACATAAAAAATTTCAGTATTAAGATTACCTGTTTAGATCTTTTTAACATTTATAAGTAAAGACTTATAATTTTATTTATTAAAGGTTACTTGGCATGGTAAAGGCAACGAAGACAAAAGAGGGAGATCTGTTGGTGATGGAGTTCTAGCACGCTCATGGTTATATGTTGCTGGGAAACCAGTAGTGTGTACTCGCATGATGGAATTGGCAGCCTTAGTGTCGTCCATCAATCCCACGTTGACTTCAACAATTGATGTCCATGAAGTGGCTCAAATGCAACACAGGCTACTTTGGTTGCTGTATGATAATGGTAATATAAAATTAGCAGGCTGCAGCTTATACAAAGATTGAAGACACTTTTGAACTTGGTTAATTTTTTTTATATATATAGGACTTTGATATTAGTAGCAAATACTTAAAAACCTAAGTTAAATGGCATAAACTCAGTAGAATATATCAACATTTAGCTTGCTTTAATTTGCTCTTCATACTAAAAACAAAAATAACAAATTTCTTTGTTTTTAATCAATTATACAGGGTTATTTTATCAATTTGATAAATCTGTTTAGGTCATCTGGAAGCATATCCAATGGCATTGGGCAATCTAGGCGACTTGGATGAATACATGAAAATATCAAACTGCACAGAAAATACTGAGGACTCACTTTTAAATGACGATGGAAGTAAAAATTCAAGACCAGACTCCGCAGCCCTCTATGTTCAAGCCATCAGATCTGCCAGAACTCATTATGATGATAGACATGTTTATCCATATACTTTCCAAGGAGGCTATTATCACCGACATAAGATGTATAAAGAGGCATTCCATGCATGGGCTTGTGCTGGAGATGTCATACGACAGTTAGTATTTACACTTTATTCCACATTCACATAATTTACTGTATGCAACGTTTTCCGCAACTCCATGTGTAAGCGCGTATTTTATATGTTATATAGATTTAGGGTTTTGAGTCTAGTGGCAGCTAAAGTCGCTTCTTGTTGTATATATAGATGAAGCTGGGCTATCTCCAGCATAGCCTCTAAGGCTACTGTTGGTGCGTTGGTTGTTGGTGGTGATGGTAGTTTTTTCGCAGCCTGTGGCAGCCATGCATGTCAGTCTGGTAACGCTGAAGCTTCTTAATGGTAGTGACTTCATTTGTTTTGGTTCACCTTACCAGAGCATTGTATGTGATCATGGGCCAAATCACGATTTTGTATAGTTACAGTATAATTTTTGGCATCAGACCCTATTATATATATGAATAATAATAAATATAATAAATATATTATATAGAAATTTGTACTAGCTTTGTTTTATTATATATATTTCTACTGTAGTTTAGTTTGTTAATATAGTTTATGTTTTTTGTCAAAAACTTCTCCACCATCATGCATATGAAAAATACCTAATCCGTACACCGCATTCCCTTTCCGAATCCAGCTTGCACATCCAAATTTTTCCGTCAGTTTCTTTCATAACTTTTTCAGTCAACACCTTAGCATACAGTTTTCCCACAATGCTAAGCAAGCTGATGCCATGGAAGTTTATAGTCCTGCTTTGAACCTTTTCCCTTATATATTGGGACTATAATGGTATTGCACCAGTCTTCCGGTATTAGCTTTGGTTCCCAACATAAATTAAAGTGTACAACAGGACTGCCACCAATCCCTCTCCAGCACTTAGCATTTCGAGTGATACCTACTCTATCATTCTAGGCTGCCTTTCATTCTTTTCGTTATTTCATTTATGCTTATCTCACTATCGCTTTTGTTGTTCTTTCAGAATTGCTAGTTCATTTAATTTAAAAGTTAACCCAATCACGAACATGCTTGCAAAGAATTCCTTCCATCTCTTTTAACTCGAAACTTTTTCATTCAAAATACAGCCATTCTCATACAGTATACCATTTATTCTTGCTATTTTGCATTTCCCCTGGCAGTTATTACGAGATCCTGGATAATTTTTAATATTTTTCTGGAAATTATCAGATATTTTTCTGTATTTTTTCCATTCTCTCTTGCTTTTTCATTTTAAACTACTTCTTTTACTCTCTTATTTAGTCGTCTAAAAACTGCCTTTTTTCTTTCAATCTCATCATTCATACCACCAGAATTAAAAGCTTTGGTTGCTAGTAAATCTAAGTCATGCTCTCTTTTTTGCTGAAACTCGCTCTGTACCTCCTTATCCCACCATAACATATTATTTTTCTTTTTATTCAATCTCTTATGGTTGCTGCATCCACCAAAACTTTATTATCATTATAAAAAACAGTCTCTAAGTCTAAATCATTCATACACACTTCATCCAAACCAGTAATATTTTCCCTCAATCTACATTTATACTTCTCTTTAATTCAGTGGTAGGCATAGATTTTCTATGTCGCCAAAGTCTGAATAGACCACAAATTCGTCATAAGACCAAATAACTATATGTTCCTACGCTGGATCCCCAGTAAACTCGAAGGGAGCTTGTACATGCTAAGAAAAGTCGCTGGGTCTATGCAAGAATTCGTGTAATTTCTGTGTACGAACTGTGTACAATGCTCCGGCGCTGACAAAGAAAAAAATTATTGTCTACGCTAGACATGACGAGCTCTGTGTTGTTGCGGCGTAGGGAGGGGCGGAGTAGGTGATGTGCTTCAGATGATTTGAGTACTTTTGTACATACATGGACGTGTTTACATGGAACTACCCAGTTTATTACGAACTATACATATATATATATATATATATATATATATATATATATATATATATATATATGCGGGCCATTTCTATTATATTGTTCCTCATGGTGCGGATAAAGGGTGGTATATTTTACGCCTCTACCAGGGCGTGGAGCCGAGTCTGTGCTATCGGCTTGTCGCTCATTTAGCACCACCCGGGGGGACACGTGTAGGGTGGGCCTAGGAATAGGTGGTCAGAGCCTACGGACGCGAGCGACTTATCCCCCTTTTTTTTGATCGAGCAAGTAGATGAGTTTGTATATTTGGGCTGCGTATTTAGCAGGGATGGGAGATATGATAAGGATATAGAACGACGAGTGAATGCGGGAAATAGAGTAAATGGGGCCCTGCACTCTATTGTGAAGAGTCAAAATGTGTCGAAAAAGGCACGTATGGCAATTCACAATGCTGTGTTGGTCCCTACTTTAACATATGGTAGTGAAAGTTGGGTGTGGCAGAAGAAGCACGAGAGTAGAATGAACGCAGTAGAAATGCGGTCGTTAAGGAGTATGTTAGGGCTGAATCTTAATGACAGGGTAAGAAATTGTGTAATAAGAGAAGAGTGTGGTTTGCAAGATGATGTTGTGACCAGGATTAAGAAAGGAATGCTTCGGTGGTTTGGTCATGTGGAAAGAATGAATGAGGAAAGAGTGACAAAGAAAATTTATGTTGCAGAAGTGAATGGCAGAGTCGGAAAGGGACGTCCTAGGCGAAAATTTATCGACCAAATTGGCGATTTATTGAAAACGGGCCAAATTAGGAGTACCCTTAACCGACGAGCATGTATGCGGAGGTGTATGGATGTGAAGGAGGCGAGAGAGGTGTGTCAGGATCGTGCCAAATGGAAGTCTGTAGTCTCTGCCTACCCCTCTGGGTGACAGGCGTGAGTGTTTATGTTATGTATGTTATGTATATATGCGGGATTCTGGATGGAATCAAATAATACGACTGAGTTGCTTATAAGCTTAGTGCTTGAAATGTATAAAGAAAAACAATACACACACACGAAGCATCGAGGGAAATATTTACTATCATAAACGGCTATTTTGAATTACAAACAAACTTTACTAGTGCACCATATGCACGACTGATCGAAAACAATCCCATCGTTTACACGTCTCTGTTTATCTTGTCTGAAGCAGACACGACAAATTTTCGTGGCTAGATCCGACTAAATTCTAGTCGTATACGTAAAGAATTGTTTTTTTTTTATAGGATAGGATGACAAACGAGCACACAGTCCAGCTGATGGTAAGTGGTTGCTGTTGCCCATAGACATCTACATCTATCCTCGGTTACTAATCGAAATGCAGATGCGTTGTCATCCGTGAGGACTTAGATGGAATGCTTCGTTTCCAGTAAAAAGGGTCTCCGGTTCTCTACACTTACCATACAAAACACAGCAGCATTAAGCAACTATTTGACGCTGGTATTCTGTGAGAGCGTGGTCCTTCCCCGGTCGAGCCGACCCATTCGTGCTACAACTATACTACTAATATAACTGCAGCATGGCTCTATCTACCTCAGACACGATGAAATTTCTTAGCGTGTACAAGCGCCCTTACGCCTACAACTGCGCTCCTCATTCTTTCATCCACAATTATGCCCCTTCGGTCTCGTCTACGAGAGACCAGTAAGCAGTACATGCCATGTTCTGTGGTATCCTTTCCCTTTCCTTTTGTACATCATTTCGCATACATCATTCATGTTACCATAAAATTACTTCACATACATTCAGCGGAGCCCGACGGGATTCTGCAATCCACTTTTTACCCCTACGAGAGACAGAACATGACGGGTGGCGAACCTCGTCGCCGGCTTCACTCCTGGAGATTCTTCGCAAAATATATATTTACGTTTCGTTCTCAAGCTGATAGCGAGTAATACAACGCATTTCTCTATTATTTCTTAGCCAATCACGCGAAAATTATTGAAATGATGCACAATGACCTATAAACATTTCTTTACTTGAAAATGTTTGCGTTTCAGCAACACTGGTTCTAGCACAAATTATGCGCTTTGCCACTACCTCTTATTTTTAATACTACGTAAATTATTCGATCCTTGCAGTGGACTAAACAAACAACACAATCCTAAGAATGTCGTCTATATAATTTCATTATGTATATTGACTATTTAATTATTTTATCCCCTATTTTTCCAACCTTCGTATTTTGTAATAAACTCACCAGTTTATTACAAAATAGAAAACAAACATACAGCCTAATTGAGAATCTGTACTTTATTTTTAAAGTAGGTTAAAAATAAGCAGCCCATTTTGTTTTTAATAAGATTTTATAACCAGATATTTAGTATATAATTAAATCATTAGAAAATCATTCCTTTCAGCTACAATTACTCACGTGACGATGAAGAAATATATAAAGAGTTTGCCGAGATTGCAAACGAATTAATTCCGCAGCTTATGAAGGCCGAAAGTTCTGGGCATTCAGCACGCTCTATTTTAAAGGATCCAGAATGCTTTGCCTCTTTACTAAGGTAAGACGATTTCTTATTTCCTGACTTGCTAGTACGTAAATGTAAGATGGTTGTGTAGGTTACAACAGGTTTAGCAGGACTGTGGCAGGTCAGGGGTAAAACCTTCGATTTAATAGAACACGCATTCGATCCTGGTGACAAAGCTGAAATTTTTAATCGCTATTTTATGTACTAATGTTACGTTATTTATTTAATGACCTCATAAAGTGATATAGTGAGCGGACTTAAATGCATTGTGACATTCTCTATCAGTCAACCCTGTATATGCAGTTGAGAACAGTCCACTAAATAAGATAGAGTTATATATAATTGAAACTTCTGTTTGCAATATTGAAAAAAAGTGGCTTCTATTAAGCTCATGAGGATATTTACATGATATTAAGACATGGATATAATCATTTTACCACGTTTTTTTTAAGTCACTTTCTTGATGGTCTGTCTGTCTGTCGTTCCGGAAGGAATTTAGTAGTTGATTTTAAACTAACTTTTCGATAAGCTGGAAACTTGTAATTTTGAATTTAGCTTAAATTTAGATGACAATGCAAGAATATGAATAAAAGTCATAATAAATATACAGGCTGGTCCAAAAGGTGACGTCCAAAAATTTTTTTTGGAATGCTGACCTTTCGGGCTACATGAAAATACCCCATGTATGTTCCGCGATTTTTCTTAGTTTGCAAGATATGATTTTTTTTGTATTATTTTGAAAAATGTCGACTTAGCGATTCAAAAAATTTTTTTTCTTGAAAATTCTGCTCTCTTTTCTACTTTTTATATTCTTAGCGTAGTCTTCATGAGTTGGACTCTTTGACATAAAAAATAAGTTGCCTACCATTAATACAAATTGCAAAAATTTTAATCCAAAACAAATTATGCAGATATGATTGAATCAAAGTTTAATTTTGAAATTTAAACTAAAAATTAAATAATGAGTTCCATGACTTTAAAGTAATTTTAAAAACTTCGCAAGACACTAAGCTTTAGTTATAATACAAAAAAAGTGGTGGTCAATGGGGCTTTTTTAGCCCTAGTCGGCCTTTAATTGCACAGAGCCAAAAGGTTCAAAAATAATCGTTTTATTATGCACCTATTGTTTATTACTAAGAATAATTAGATTTTCATGGTATGTCATAATTTTTCATAATAAATAAAACAATTTGGTATTTTAATACTTATTTTATTTTACAACCAATTCTCAAATTACCCCCCCTCCACTTCAATACACAGTCTACAACGCCTTAGAAAATTTTGTTTCAGTCTTCTAAAAGCATTTGAATTTTGTCTGATTTTTTGTTTCCGCCTCCGTTAATTTATCTCACAGTTCTGCTTCGGTGTTTGTTTCGCTTGCGTACACCATAATCTTTCACCATCTTTGTAATATCCCCAGAGAAAGAAATCTATGGGGTTCAAATCTGGTGAACGTGCAGGCCAATGAATCGGTCCGCCACGCCCAATCCATCTATTGGGGAATCTTTGATTAAGGTGCTTCCGTACCTCTCTTGCATAGTGGTAAGGAGCACCATCATTTTGCTAAATCATATCCCTTCTTGTCAATAAGTTTACATCGCCTAATAAGCCGTTTAAATTGTTTTGTAAAAAGTCTAAATATTGGGCTCCGTTTAACCTAGCAGGCAATTCAAAAGGTCCTATAAGTTCCCCGTTCAAAATTCCTGACCACAAGTTTACACTATAATGTGTTTGAAAATTTGAAGACCTTGCCTTGTGTGGGTTTTCAACAGCCCAACTATGGTAATTGTGGATATTGAAGACTCCTGTTCTTTCAAATCTAGACTCGTCCGTCCACAGAATTTTATCAAAAAAACCTGGATCCTCCGCAGTTCTTTCCAGCATTGTTCGACAAAAAGTCACCCGTCTTGAATAATATGCAGGATGCAATTTTTGGACGCGTTGAATATGATAAGCGTGGTATCTGGAAAAAAAACGAAATTGTACTTCCAGAAATCACTGTTTTTATTCCATGAAATGTGGTTTTTGCCCGACATAAGTAATTAAAATTAATTGATCGCTCGTCGCTATTCAAAGGTGCGCTTTAATACGGTGTCAAAGTAAAAGTTTTAAAGGCAAAATGAACTTACCTGACTTAAGTATCCTTATAACTGAGGTTCGTGGTACACCAGTCGTTCTCGTAATACCTCTGGTGCTAGTAAAAGGATATCTTTGCACTTGTTCCACGACTTCATCTCTGACATCTGGATCCACTCTGGGTACTCCTTCGTGGGAACTACGTCCCGGAATTCGTCCGTCCATAAATGTATTATGTGTATTTATGAACACTCTGTGATCGGGATAAAGTTCCCGTTCTTCTCCTCGCCGTTCTAGTTTCTCTCGGTAAAGCCTTGCCGCTAAATGGCCATTGCCTTGGGCAACGCCGTAAAAATAATGCATTTCTGCGTATTCCTTCAAAGAATAACTCATTTTGCAATACAAAAATCCAAATCACAAGGTAATCAATCAAAGTCCGAAACACAAGCACAGTCAAATCAGTTATAAGGCGAAACAGAATCCAGTTAGCAACGGGTCACCCCGAACGGGTTCTCGCCTTGTCGTGGCGGGGGCTTAGAAGCCGTGGCTTGGTCACCCACGGCGAAACAAAGAGGAACCCATATGGCTGGTCCGAGGTGGAGGGCCGACCCGAGGTGGCCACTCCGAGTGGGCTTGGGTAGCCCACTTCGGATGTGTGTTAGTGGACAGCGGTGAGAGGTGTGTCCTCCCCACCTACCGCTGCAGCCGAGGTGGAGTCGCGGAGGAAGAGGAGTGTTGGTATGGCGATGCGCCACTCGCCCTATCCTCCGCGACTCAAACGGGGCCGCACCGTTGATGCGGTGGTGATGGGGCTGCGGGGGGAGAGGATTGTCGGTATTGCGAGGCGCCGCTCTCCCTATCCTCCGCAGCCGAATCTTGGTTGGCGGCGGAGCCATAGACCAGATCCGCCGCTGGGGTCGGGAGGACTAGTACTTCTAAGTGCTCGTTTTTCCTGGCCCCATGGCCTTCGCGCATCGGACGCGGGGGCGTCTGTTGCGCAGATGTAATTGGAGGCCGTGGAGGAAGGCGTGCCATGTGTTCTGGTGCGCCTTACTTGGGAAGGAGAACGGGGAGGAATATTCCTCTCCCGATAAGGTGCTGCCATGGGGCGGCAGTCGCTGGTGGGGCCGCGGATGTGTGCGAAAGCGTTCCCGTAGCCCTGCCAATATGCGACGAAGGTGGAACACCATAGGGTTTTAGTCGGTGCGAGTCCGACATAACCCGCCCTTGCCCCCGCGAGGCGGGTATGCGTAGGCATTTCCCCATGTTAAAAAAAAAGCAGTCAAAAAAAAGTGTCGAAAATAAAAACTGGAGTAGTAGTTACGCGAGCGATAGCTGTGAACAACTGAGGGACTCTATGACTGAGGCTACGCCTGTCGCCTTATGCGCGCGAGCTATGGCCAGAGCGAGAGAGCGCGCTACACACGACACAGCATTTCTCACTCCTGCTTCCTTTGTTCGACACGTGGTATTTTTTGTGATCTGCAACCGTCTACCTGCCTATTACTATTATTATTCATTATCTCATTAACATTGAGGGGAAATTCGTTGTTTTTTGTGACCCATCTGTGAATCCATCTACTTACTGAAGTGGTACTATCCCTAACCCGAAGATTTACATTTCATTTTATTTTATTTCATTTGATTAGATTCTATGGCGAACCTAATTATTTTTAGAAATAAGGTGTTTAAATAATAATGTTGAAAATTTTCGCCTCTGTGCAATTAGAGGCTGATTACGGCTAAACAAGGCTCATTGACCAACACTTTTTCTAGATTATAATTAAAGCTTAGGGTCTTGCGAAGTTTTTAAAATTACTTTAAAGTCATGGAACTCATTATTTAATTTTTAGTTTAAATTTCAAAATTAAACTTTGATTCAATCATATCTGCATAATTTGTTTTGGATTAAAATTTTTGCAATTTGTATTAATGGTAGGCAACTTATTTTTTATGTCAAAGAGTCCAACTCATGAAGACTACGCTAAGAATATAAAAAGTAGAAAAGAGAGCAGAATTTTCAAGAAAAAAAATTTTTGAATCGCTAAGTCGACATTTTTCAAAATAATACAAAAAAATCATATCTCGTAAACTAAGAAAAATCGCGGAACATACATGGGGTATTTTCATGTAGCCCGAAAGGTCAGCATTCCAAAAAAAATTTTTGGACGTCACCTTTTGGACCACCCAGTATATACAAAATCAAAATATCTCTCAAAAAAATATATCTCTTATTATAAATTTTTGTCTGTCTGGGTTAATCTTCGAAATCGAGTAACTGATTGCAATAAAATTCACGAACAGATGAGGAGCAATGCCAGTGATCTACATTTTTCTGCTTTAACACCATTTTACAACTAAACAATGTCTTTGAAAGGATTACGTAATAATCCCTATTTACGTGATATTAATAAATCTTTAATGTATTTTTTAAACATTTTACCATATCCCACATAATTTTTGAGATAATAGCTAAAAACTGAGTTTCAAGTGGTTTTCGATAATCGAACTACTTGCCCAAAGACCACAAAAATAAAACTGCAGGTTTTTTTTTGCTACAAAGGAGACGAACTTGATTCCATACAAGCTTGGACCCGACGTGAACAAAATCCAAATATATCTTATTTTGAAGATTTAAAAATTTGCTACTTATATCAATAAATTATATTTTTGCAGGACATGGGGTTATGTTTTTAAGTTTTATGATTTATAGGTTATGTAGTAAAATCACTCGTTCTTGTGATAGTTGTTTGAATAAATTTAAAGGTACACAATAAAATGTAGTATTGTGTTTATTATTAAAGTAAACTCAACATATTTTAATTGTTTAATTATTTTCTGCAATTAATTATAAAAAGTCATCTAGAAGCGCAGCCGGAGGCTGTACATTATCTGTTGTAAACCTCTCATAACCCAAGTACCACATTATTGTCACTATGTGGGTGCAACAAACTTAC